GAAAAAAAATTAAGTATAGCAAGAAAAATGATTTACAGAACATACCCATTCACCAATATAAAAGTTACTACATTATTGTGCTCCCTAAAACTGAAAACTCGTCGTTCACATTGAAAATTATGTGATAAATACTATTACCAGATAATATGTAAATTATCTTTTTTTAATAAGGAGAGTGAGAATTGTTATCGTGACATTCGCTTTGTTGACTCTATTCTTGACATTCATTGAAAGGAATATGGATGACAGTTAACAAAGAATAGTTGTTAAAGAAGAAATGCAAGAAAAACAAGAATGAAACAACCAGAAGAGCAAGAAAAGTCAAACAACTTCGTGACAACAACTTATGTTACAATATAGTGCGCCGATGGATCCATTTGCAATTCGGTCGTCGAAGTGTCCCAGCGGCCTCCCGCCCCTGCCCTCCCTACCCCACCCTTTCACCCCTCCCTCTCCCCACCCGCTTCCCCCGTGAGAGTGCGTGGGAGAGTGAATGCGATGGGCGACGTGCTTCGCGCCGAGGCAGGCGCGCGCGCGCGTGCGTGCCCGTGCGAAACGAGCGTGACGTTTCCGGCAAGATCGCTCCCGCCTGCTTTTTGTTTGCGAAATTTATTGCAACGCGGACACAGCCTGGTTATGCAGAGGAACAATTACCTAATTATTCCGAGACGCTTTCCAGGAAAATGTAAGCGCACTTCCCGAGAAAAGAAGCAGCAGCTGCAACGGCCGCTGCGGAGGACTGGCAAGCTCCGAAGCGGCGGGCATGAGCGATCTCGTCTGAACTCCATTTGAAAGATGGGGACCACAATTCGTGGCGTCTGGGTACACTTAAGCCCCAAATATTAAAGCACCTATGCTTTTATTATTATTATTATTATTATTATTATTATTAATATAAACTGGGCTAGCAGAGATCATCTTCAACACTTTTCCATTCATTTTCTTGTGTACAGAATGAAGTTTTGCGTTTCGGTTTATCACTGTCTTAATTCTCTTGAAGAATCGATAGCGTCTTTTATGAATAGTCATCGGTTATAACTAAAAGTAGTGACAATGAATTGCTTTCGTTCGATTTAACGATGGGTTCTCGAATTGAAGAAAATAATACAATTTAACAATGCAAATCAATAATACAAATTAATTAAAACTACCCAAAGAGGCATCTTTGAATCTCTGTTTCTCTTTCTCTCTCTCTCTCTGTTTCTCTTTCTCTCTCTCTCTTCGTTTCCCCTCTCATCTACCGTTTTCCCTCTCTCTCCGTTTCTCTCTCTCTCACTCTCTCACTCACTCTCTCCACTCTCTCACTCTCTCACTCACTCTTCTTACTCACTCTCTCACCGCTCTCACTCACTCTCTCACTCACTCACACCCACTTCACACACTCACACACTTCACACACACACACACACACACACACAAACACATGTCAAAGAAAACTAGGATATCCGTCTTGAGTGGATAGTCATTGATTCGAAAAAAATAGAGTGATTAACCAGCGCTACTTTTTTTACCGAAAGCCGATTAACTTCCAGTAATGCCGTTTGACTGTCAGGCTGCAAATCGAAAGATACTTTACTAAATATAATTTTATACAAGCTTCTAAATTATATACAAGGCAATATCCTTATTTACACCTCTGTATATTCTATCGGATTTAAATGTTAATTTGCAGTAATGGAATTGGTTTTTGACATTCATAATTTTCCTTGAACACAATTAATCTCTTAATTTGCTCGAAATTACTTTAAACTTTTTACTTTCCCGTATACATAAGTATATATAGAGTAATATTCGTGGAAGCCAACCGACGCACACTCGGGAATTGTGAACGAGAAAGCGCGTCATAGGCTGCCACGGGGCTGGAGGGGAAAGAGGGAACAACAGTGACTTATGGACGAAAGGAGCATTCGGCTAAGTGTGCATGGCTCAGCGAGTGTCTTGACAGGTCTCGACAGGTGTTATAACACTCAGCACAATTTTTTAGGAGAAGCACGTGTGACATTGAACGAAGGAAGTGTGAGATATCACTTCACTGAAAAGACCTATCATCCCTTCCAATGAAACAGATCTTCGCTAGCGCGCTGCACTGCTAAAGCTTCTTCGAAACGCGAATGCATAGCTGTGCAGTGATGCATTCGTAATAATTTATGTTAATTTTATATTATAACCACATTATCTTATATTTTGAAGTGACTTGCAATTACAAATACATTTCGAATTAATGAAAAGAACGTAGTTGGCTACTTTTTTTTAAATTACCGTATACATAGTATAGGGGAAGTTATGTAATGCTGCGGAAAATCTATTTCAAGATTTCAACAGAAATACACGTTTTAGGGTCCCCTGATACCGACACAATGTTTTTCTTCAAAACGCCTGTCTGGTGTACGCGAACAACACTAGCGTCTAAAGCAGGGATAGGATTTTTTTCCAGAATGAAGAAACCCCTGTCCATTTGGCCGGAGTCGAAGCTCTGCGATTTTAAAAATCATTCATTTGTTTTTGGGGAATACTTTACATGAAGCCTTTGGACCATTGACAAAATTTTCTCAAAAACGGCTCCAATTTTTTTCTTTACATTTCTTATAAGAATAGAGTCCAAATCGCTTATACCCGATTTTCACGGATAAACTCAAAAATTTCAAAAGTTTGAATTATTTCGGGTTCTTTCTACAACTACAAAATTAAAGATTGTGATTTGCCCTTTAAATTTAATTTGTTGTCCATAAATTGCTCTCTCATTAAGGTTATGCACATTTTTTTGAAACCTTTTCAAGTTTTCGCAGAAAATTGCGTGCAATTTGTGCAATTTTTAAAAATTGCAAAAACTAGATTTTCTCGAAAACGGATCCAATTTTTCTTTAAACTTTTGGTAGGGATTGTTCTAAATGCACTCTATAAGATAATTTTTCTCTCTATTCGTTTCTCTTTCCAAAAATTACATTTTTTTTTTACTTTTCTCTTAAATCGTTAATATTTTCATTAGCAGCCATAAGTTTACATTATATAGTTATAAGTTAATATTTATGTGTACATGTGCTTTAAATAATGCCAGATAAAGATTCTCAACGAATTTTATAAACGCTATACGCCTTTTTCTCAAAAATGTCTCCAACTTTTTTCTTCAAACTTTTGGGAAAGATAATACTAATTGCGCTCTTTAAGATTAAGTAAAGTTAATTATGGGGTATTTTTTTTCAAAAATTATACAAATTTAATTTTTTGAAAGATCTTTCACGCCAGTAATATGTACATTTATGGCAATTTGTTAACAATATTGTATTTGTAAGCTTAAGTGGATGAAATGACTTCAAATTACCCAAAAGTACTTCAAATTTTTAAATTTACTGTAGCGCTTTCGCGCCATTTACTTAAAAACGGCAATTTTTTCGAAGAAAATTGGCACTTAAAAAACGGTTTATAGTTCTTTAAAATTCTTGATATAATATTTCCGTTCAATTATTAAGAAACCGAAAAATGAAAATTTCAATTTTTAATCTAGTGGTTCGTCTGTACTACGGGGGGGGGGGCGATAGATTGCTGCTGGCAGGATGTGGCAAGTTCGTATTGCTAGCCGAGACCAAAGGAAATAGAAAAATAATATTGGAAAGTCTGTGCCATAGGACCTCTTGTTCGTTTTATATTTGAATTTATGACCTCTTATTATTTACCTCACGCGAAGAGAACACGCGTGTTTCCAGTGGGCGGGGCGGCGCGTGCGGGCGGCACGGGCTGCCAAAGGGCGCGTGGCGCGGGTGCACGGCCGGGGCGTTGCGGGGCGGGGGCAGGCGCTGCGGGGGCGGAGCGGACCCGCTGGCCGCTCGCCACGCGGCTAAATCCAGGCGCGTTAAACGGCGGCGGAGGCGGCTATGCCAGGCAATGCCATGCCACTTAACACGACCACCCTCGCACCCGCAGTGGCGGCGCCGCCGCCGCCGCGCACTTCTCACCCGAGGGCACCAATTTCTAAAAAGCACTCATTCAGGGTGTGGACACTTCAGTTTTAGGGGCCAGTTTACAAAAATCGCTATATTTATATTTTTACAAGAAAATGGTTGATTACTTAAAAGGTTAACGAAGTTTTTAGTGAGCAACCCCCTAAGATTTTTGTAAGGCAAACTTTACAATAGATTATTCATGTTGTTGTGCTGCCGCCATTAATATAGTGGTTCGTCGATTTGGCAAAAAAAAAAAAACGCATGGTGAGACGAGTGCGCATATTGTTTGGTTTGTAACATTCGCAATTTTTGTTTCTTCACAAAGACCCATCGGATATTTAAAACTTTAAATAACATGTCAATCTAATTTCAATTGTGACTCAATGTTCCCAGGAAATAAGTGTTGTTCGTAAGCAGCTTGTCACAATACAATGAACGGAGTGCTAGATGAGCGTGAAAGTTATCTTAAAGTGCTTCATTTAACATTAGTAGCAAAATATCAGTCATAATAACACACGTTTTTTATCTGATAAACATTTCCGAAGTGATATAAACATTTTCTCAAATATTTCTTGAATTTCAGAAATGTCTTTAATATTCTTAAAATAACATGCCCGTTCTATTATAAGGAAACCGTAAATTAAACAAATGTCAAAAAATGTACTTTGAGCAGCGATAGATGTCAGCTGGCAAGTGTATGTGGCAAGTCCGAACAGCTAGCGGAGACCAAATGAAATAGAATATTAATACGTGAAAGTCTGGGCCATTCTGTACACCACTAGTTTCTTTCTTTATGCCAATAAAAGAATTATACTAAAAAGATGATTTTAGCTAGTTAACATCTCATACTAAACGTATTTAAATATTAACGACGCATCTTGCGAAACTACAATATTTTCGCTTGTCTTTGATTCATTTCCCAAACATGTTAACTTTTAGATCGATTTTCACGTTATGTGCGTGTTCGCACAACAGCACTAACCTGCGAAAACAAACTCAAAGTGCATGCATTTTCAGAGAAATATTACGCCAACAAGCTACGATTGTCCGTTTGGTGTTGCAGTGCGACCCGGCAACACGACGTGCAACCTGTGCTTCAAGACGTTCGCCTGCAACTCCGCGCTGGAGATCCACTACCGCAGCCACACCAAGGAGCGGCCGTTTAAGTGCACGGTGTGCGAACGCGGCTTCTCAACGAAGGTGCGTCCGCCCCTCCTTTCCTCCTTCTTGGCGCTGCCGTTATCGATAGCAGTGAGTCGATAATATCACGAAATCGATATCGAAATGGCAGTACCTGAATCTGGAAAACAATGTACTACCAGCATGTAATAAATTGTTACAATCATGTTAGGATATTTAGTGTGTTCTGTCCTTTTTATTTCCTGTGACTTTCTTTATAATATTAGATGCAAGAGCTATACTTCTTTTCTTTATAGTAAACAAAACATTAATGCGAAATAATTGAGAATCATAACAATGTACAAAAATGTTCTTATATGACGTACACAATAATATAAAGATGTTAATTTGACTCGTGTCTCGATGCAGACTGATGTTTAAAGTCTGAGTATTTGAATTACTTTGTTTGTAAATGGAACAGAAATCAATTTCGTATTGAATCAAGTACCACAACCAGCCGTGACCTCACACATCTTGCGCCCGCTGACTTCTGAGTTTGGTAGTATTGAGTTACGACTAATTCTTGATTCTCTCGCCGCTTGTCTAATCGAAATGTCAGGTTATTTGGCGAGACCTTATTTCCAGTTTCAAGGGAAAAGAGTAAAGAAAGAGATTGCATATGCGTATAGTAGGACAGTTATGCGGTCCATAGCAGGACAGTGATGAGGTCCAGGTTTGAATTCACTTTCCTAGGTCCAAACTAAGAAGACGAGATTACAAGATAAGATATTGTAACGATAGACCGTTCTGAAAAGGTTTAGTAAACGTAATCGTTTCAAGATCCTCCTAGTATAATTTCCATTCCTCACAAACTACTTGCAATCGTGGAAGTTATGCGAATGAAATGAAAGTCCAATGAGTGACTTTTATTAATTCACACTCCCAACACGACTGGGTAACATTCTCCCAAATTATTAAATAATCATGAATTTTATTGAATTAATATGAGAGCTCGAATAAAAGTAGTTTACGAAAGGCAAATGAAACGCTACATATTCCCACCAAACTAACTCGACCAACTCTGAAAAACAACATCGTTGATTGCAAAACGTTGGACGAGAGTAGATAGATGCTTCAGTCTTTAGAATTTCCCTTGTTCTTTCACTAGTGACACCCAGACTAAACGTTGTGGGGAAGACAGTATCATCAGTTGGAGTCGACCGGGGTTGGGGGAACGGGGCAGCCAGGCAGTCGCGTCCCGGCGCGGGTTCAAGGGCTCGATGCAACGCGACGCGACGCGACGCGACGGGCAGACGATTAGACGCGCGCTCAGACGAGGCCTCGCCGAAGTCACTTGCAACAACATAGTGGGGCCGCGCGAACGCGTCATTAGTCAGCAGTGCCCGCCCCGAGGCGCGTCTCCGCAGCAACGCGAACCGCACGAGGGGGGGAGCGCGGGCAGGTATCGGTATACCGGCGCTGCCGTAGGTATACTGCCCGCCCGCTCGCGCCCGTGACGCGGGGAGGGGCGGGGCGGGGCGGGGGCGGGGAGCGAAGTGCTTAGGAGGGCGGCGGCGGCGCGCGCGACTATTCTTGGGCGCCGCATACAATAGGGCGGCGGCGGCGAGGAATCGCGCGAAGGATTCCGCCCATCTGAAATTAGCTGTTGGACGGGGCCCAGGGAAGGCGCACGCCCGGCGCTCTCTTAATTCTATAGTTTTAAGAAGCGGCGCGGCGACTTTCCTGCCCCGCGGCGCGCTGGCAGTGGCAGAATTAGTAGTGGTGATAATAGCAGCGGAGATGTCGAGGCGGAGGAAATGTGGACAGAGATGTTGTGGTGTTGGTGGGCGGACAAAATAGTGAGAAGATTAGTACGGACAAGTTCTGTTAAGCAATCCAAATGACGACGAAATAGACAACTATTCGATTTTCCAAGACATGGGGCAAGGCGGAGAGTGCAATGAAGTGGGGTGCAAGACGAATGTGGGGAATAGAACAGACCTATAGGGATGAAACGGGTGTGCGGCCGCTGGAGTGGCAAGTGACGGTCTGCCAGTTCAGGGTGAGTTGCAATACCAGAGACGCCCATCTTCGTAGCTATTCTGAACGGCTAAACGGGAAGTGTAGGGTGGGAGTCACGGGGGACGGCTATTGACAAATTTCCTTCGAATCTAAAATAACTTTTTAATTCCTATAAAATCGGCGTCAAATTATTAACTACATTAATAAATTTCTCATCTAAAATTTTAGGAAACATAAAATATGTTTAGCTATCATTTCTTTCTTCAAAAGTTACCATTAAATATAATTTCGATTGGTTCAAACAAATTTTGTAATCATATCTCAACACGTAATTTTTATCGTTCGATTAATGATATAGGGATTTACGTAGTTTATTTTTTATTTTTCACTTATTTTATTTATCTGCATTTTCATTAAGTATCTGAAAAATTACTTCGAGAATACGACAATCAGAAACACCCAATGTGCATTGTAACATTGTTTTTCATCGTTTTCTCTCTTTTTTGATGTGATATTTATCTTCTGAATAATTGTTCCTATTTATTTTTGATAATATGTGTAACTTTTATTTCATATTTTTCAGTTATGTCTGGTTTTAAAAAATCCTGTTTCCTCTAAGTTATAATATTTATTTGATTCAAAGTAAAATTGCTTTCTGTTTATTGTTCTTAGATTAAGTGTTTCGTTCATTATCACATGTTCACTTGTGTATTATTCATTTGCTGGTCTTTGTGTTTCATAAGAGTCGCACACTTTATTCCTCAGCTACCCAAAATGAAATTTCAGGAGAGAGAAGGAGAGCAGTTTAGAATCGAGCTAGTTTGGTGATGAATCTGCAATAGACCGCTTTACATGCGTTTCATTTTTACGGCATATAATTCTCACGTTCAATAACAAGTACCAGACGGCAGTTAACGAAACATTAAGAGTAAATTAATGTGAACAAATATGAAAATTGGCCCCCTCTCTCCCAAGTGATAAAAGAGTCGTTGCCGAGAGTCGGAGGCGCGAATCGCTGGTGTCTCCCTTGCCCCGCGCCCGCGGCCGCCCGCCGCCGTGCCACCCACCCGTCTCATCACGCGCCTCCTTTTGCACTCCTTTCGCAGGCGGAATCCGAGCGCTGCGCGTTCCATGCTTGTCTCGGGGACAGTCCCAGTCAGTGGCGTATCCAGCGGAGCAGCAGCAGCAGCAGCAGCGGCGGCCGGGAGCGGCCGCGGCCCAGGCCGAGGCCTAAGCGAAATGCGAAGGCGGGAGCGGGCCAGGCGGCCAAGAAGCAGGCGCAGGCCCACCCGCCGCCGCCGCCGCTGCCTCTGCCGCCGCCGCCGCCACCGGCGGCGGCGCTGCTGGCGCACCCTGGATACGCCCCTGACTTCTGGAGCCCCTTTCTGGTAAGGCCGTGGGCGGGGCGCGCTCGGTTCTGTAAGGCCCTGGGCGAGTGATCTGAAAGGGAGAGCTGCCATTTCAAAACACACTTATTCACTTGAGGTACCTGCGATTTTTCAGTGGACGACAACTGAAAAGAACTCACCGAGTTAGGACGTTAACATCCCTTCTTCTTAATTTGAAAGGTCGTCAGCACTGAAGCGTTTTGAAAATTTTCGCGCAATTTCCAACTATGTCACATTTCTCTAACTTCTGGTACTTAGCAGTTTTCAGAAAATCGTAGAACTACGGCTGAGTGACAAGCAACTGTCAGCGCATTTTCTAAAACTTAACATTCTTTAATTTACTTTTGCATTTTCGTGCGCAATGCCAGGACCGATTTTAATAGTTCAAAATTATAAGTTGTCCGTTAGCTGATATGTAGGTAAAATTATTACTTTCTTCCGTCTTACATTCAAAGATCCTAAGCAAGTACTTCGTTTTGTTTTGAAAACTATTCTGTATATGGCTAATATAAATAAAATAATTCGTGTCCTCTCAAATTTGAATGCTGGATATTTGTTCAAAAATCTATTTTAATGTGACGACTATATCCCATTTTGTAGTGTAAAAAGGCATTACGTTTTTTCCCTTTACTGGTTATTCAACATATTCGTTAGATCAAGAGAAAGGATTTTAATCCCAAAATATTTCGAAGTCTCGGACATTGCAAATATCGTGCGACTGGCTGCTCCACCAGAATTAATTCTGACTTTATTAATTAGTCCTCAAACCAGTTCAAGCTATTTAACATTTGTAATTTTTATGAGTACGTTGCAAATAAATTTAGGTATCCTCGTCTTTCATATTGCATTCGCTAGCATTACGGACCGATAACGTACGATTAGTGTAATCACGCTTGACACAAACAAGAAGCAGCAAATTACCAAACACGAACAAAACTTTTGCTTATTCTGGAGGTGAAGAATTTACTAGCAAAGACGCTTTTGCAGTAAGCGAATAATTGAGCAATAAATTAAACAATTGCGACGCACCATCTATTAAAGAGTCCAGCCGCCTCATCTGTAGACTTCTGTGATCCGGCTCCTTAATTTATGTAGGAACTAAATTATTAGCGACCACAAATTCCCCAAATTAGAAAATCCACATAATAATATTGAGGTCATCATTATGAACTGCAATGGGCAAAAGGCTCTCTCTATAACGGATCAGATAAAAATCCTCACATATTACAAGTAATATGAGTGTATTATCAATACATTCTGAGTTGTAATAAGTTAAGTTCATCCTAAATTAAATTATTTTGGCATTATTTATTAAAAATGCCAGAGTGTGAGCAAGGATATATACTGTATAATTATTTACGGAAATGTCTATGAGGGTTTTTATAATATTTATGTTTACTGAATTTTACACTATTTATTCTCATTTTCTTGAAATTATTAACTTTTCGTCATTAAATGAACGAACCGATTTTCATTTGTCAAGGACATTATACAACATGAAAACAATAACTTGTCAGTATAAACTGGTCCAATACCTTACTTTCAAAAATATACCGAGAACATTATAAAATAATATGCATCAAACATAATACTCATTTTCAACCATAAAATCGTAATCTGAACACTCTTTTAATCAGCCAATACGTGGCAGTACATGAAAAATATCCTAAATAATTACCCAATAATATCTATAAATTGATCAATACACGCCAAATTGTTTGATGATGTAGAAGAACGCAAAGTGTAAAACTACAGATTTCATTTAAATATCTGAATAAACTACCATCCGTTTAACTAACTGAATCATTATATCATGCTTTTCCATAAAGGAAATAATATTGTCATCATCCGTTAACCCTTGATAATTTTATTTAATGTTACTCATGTCTTCGCCATAGAGTGATGCATGAACAAGATAAAATCGGTTTTGAGTATTGATTAACCATGAATAGTTTTTAGCTACTGAATAACGTATTGTTAAATATGCTACGTTAAAAGATATCGTACAATCAAGTATTTCTACACTGCTGTCTCGAGTTAATTCTGAGCGTCGCAGAGGGATATATCTCCGCAAGCGAAGCAGTTTTGCCTCAACTGAGTTCACCCGTGCCTCCCTCACCCTCCCGTTCGTCGCCTGTCCGTTTGGCACACAATGCGCATCGAATAAAAGTCCCCACTCGTTACTAGGCCACCAGGTTGCTCTCGATACGCATATAGTGAAAACAAAGTACTCTTTACCACTTGCGTGCGTGCGAAATATGTGCTGCCACCTACCTTCATTCCTCCCAACTACACGTTGCGACGCGACCCCAGCGCACTCTCGCACCCGCTAAATTTGAAACATCCCACTGAGCAAAATGATACAAGGAGTCTGCATTATCTTCTGGCATAACCTTTAGTAAAAATAAGCCATAATACGCTGTTTCTGTGTTTTACCCTTTATCACTATTTTCGTGTCAGCTCTCCTAATGCGAATTACGATCAATGTTTTGTAGATAATTATAATTATAATAACTGAAAAAAACTAAGGAACTGGTGTAATAAAATGTTAAATGAAATGTTCTTGGACAGATGTGATAAAATTTTATTTTGCCCGAAATTCATTTTAATTGCCAACATGATATATTAGTGTCGGTTTTTTCTGAGAATACTCGTTAATGTGAATTGTTCCGTATTTCATATCGTATTACATTCGTAACATTACTCTGGAATAACTTTGTGAATTACATGATAACATTTAAATAGATAGAAGACTCACATTTTGTTGTCGCGTATGAAAAGTTAAATGCAATCATTCAATGTATTGTCAATTTTCCACCTTGTGCCTGTACGAAAAACACGTTTTTATTCATGCATGAAAATGAACAACAATATTATTTTCAAATTATAATTTCCATTAGTTTTTCCAGAAATGTTCATAAAATATTTTATTTCTTGTTATAGGGTAACATGAAACAACACATGCTGACCCACAAGATTCGAGACATGCCCTCGCACTTGTTCGAAACAAAGCCGCCTCTGCCTCCAACTTCTACTGCAAATGAGGACTCAAGCAGTCACCCTGATGGAGACAGATCGGGTCAAGAATCACCTAACAAGTCAGACCTAGGGGTGAAGCGGTCCCCACCGGAAGGAGAATCCATGCTGCCCATCGCCAAGAGGCCTCCAGGTAAGTGATATGGCTGGCTTGGTGGATATTGCTGCTCGCTGCTGGGCAGAGCTGTGCTACAACAGTGTGCTCGAGAGGAATTTTTCTCCGTAAGCCATTGTTTCAGCACGCCTCACTTTACACTCCTCTAGCATCTCCTCACTAACCTATATCATGATCAAACGTTGGAAGATACATTAGCTCCAAGGGTTTCATGAATTTCATTTCTTGTTAATGTACTATTCTTTGCATTTCTTGTGCTCTTCTATAAAAATTGTTCGACTTTCTAGGTATTTTGGGACAATCACCCATAGCTATGCAAAGCATTAAATATACAAAAATGGCAATATGTTGGACCTCAGCACGTTTAATGGTTGCCAACAAATTCTGACAAATTATATTATTCTCGATAACATTTTATCAAAACCAATAGTTCTGTCCCAACTAACTAGCAAAAATCTAATTACTAAACTCTTAATATATACTGGAATTTCTTACTAAGTTTATTTTTTTATTGCATATTAGACGATTAACAAAATGAACAGGCCTCCCACAGAGAAAATAGGAAGTATAATGTTCTATATGATGTTCTTGAATAATTTTATTTACTACGAAAATTTATGTAGGTATTGCCCGAAGAACTGAAGAATAATAAAATGCCAAATCCCTTAATTTTATAATGTTTTAGCTTGTATTTTAACATGAAGGTTACGTATCTTGGGGAATTATTTTTTCGGGTATTTCCTTCTGTAAAAAAATAAAATTACCGAAATTTACAAAAATAGGTATTAAATTTCTTTAAAAAAGGTCAAATAAGTAACATTTTTAAAACAAAAGCTATTGTGGAGGGCCTGATCTTCGAGTCCTATCCCACCCATTTTCCCTAGTTTCAGTCGCTGCCGTACTGAGGCGTGTTGTGTGTGTGTTTGCAGGCGTGCCAAAGCACTTGTGCCATGTTTGCAATAAGAACTTCTCCTCCTCGTCAGCCCTGCAGATACACATGCGCACGCATACCGGGGACAAACCGTTCCGATGCACGATCTGTCAAAAAGCGTTCACCACTAAAGGCAACCTCAAGGTAACTATCCACTGCCGTCCGTCCGGTCGGTCGGCCGGTTGGTGAGGTAGCCGCTCTGACGAACACTGAGACTTAGTACGACATACTTTCAAAAAAAAATTAACGATCCGTTTTAATTTTTCCTAACTTCCAAGACATATGCATCAAATGAGGTAGCTTTCGACGCAAACTCTATTTACAATGTTCAATTTGAAATAATTTATAGAAATACTGTGGATGTAGAAATGTTTTCAAGAAGAGAAATTCTGCTTTTTTTCAATCGTTTCAAACGTGAAAGCTTGTACAGCATTCACGAACGCAACATCGACGGAATCTATTCTAGTCTAGCATTGTCTTTGATAACACTTGGAGATACAATGCTCCTTTACCTGAGGCTGCGCGAAACATCTTCAGAAGAAAACATAGTATTATGGTTTTCATTTTTTGCTACCACACATATCTAAGAAAATAGTATTTCGTTTTGATAAACCAAACATTTACAAATCATGTCTCAGTGTTAGCCAGAACCATCAGCTACCTCATCTCCCGGTCGGCAAAAATATCAGTTCTATCACACTTGTGTCATTCTGCTACATTAGAATATATTCCACAGATGAGCACATTGAATGGTTCCTGTCCGCATGCTCCCCACACTCGTAGTCAGTTGCTTCCAGCTTCATTAACGCTACGCCTACTAACCCCGGAGCACGCGGCCAGGATGGGCCTCGGCCGTTTTGTTGACGCCGCGCTGTCCCGTCCGCAGGTCCACATGGGCACTCATATGTGGAGCAACGGGGCGTCGCGCCGCGGCCGGCGGATGTCGCTGGACTTGCCGCCGATCCCCATGACACCCAAGGACTCGGAATTCCTCCAGCGGAGGCCAGACCTATTCTACCCGTATCTCCCGGCGCCGTTCCTTAATGGCATGCAGCAAAAGGTAAGATATCAGATGGCGAAGCGAATGTGATCCGCAAGGCAAAGAGATTGCAAGAAGAAATCAAGCACAAAATGAGTCTCACGAATGGAAAAAAACTAGTGGTGCTACAGAATGGCACAGACTTTCCCGAATTAGTTTTGTTTCCTACGGTCTCGGCTAGCTATTCGAACTTCCCACGTACTCTTGCCATCTATCAAATCACAAAATACATTCTTTAGAAATTTTCTTTATTTTTCAGCCTCCTAATAGTAGAACCGAAATATTATTTTAAGAATATTAAAGAACAGTAAAACTTCGTCCTAAATGGCAATTTTCTTTGAAAAATTTGGAGCCGTTTCTATGAAAATGGCGTTTAAAGCTAATGTAAATTCAAAAGTTGATTCTCTTTTTCACAGAAAATGTTTGAGTTTTCGAAAAACTTAATTTGCAATACTTTAGTTCACAAATACAACAGTGTTTACAAATTGCTGGAAATGTTCATATCAACGGCGTGAAAGATCTTTCAAAAGAAATTAACTTTACGTTATATTAAAAAATGTAATTAGTACTATCCGTTTGAAAAAATTGCGGGCTTTCTTGAGAAAATGGCGTTTGAGCGTTTTTGAAAATGCGGAATTTTGTGCTAGTTTTCACACAAAACGGTTGAGTTTTCGAGAAACTTTATGACATTATATAAAGTACAAAGTATAAATATAATAATGTGATCAAATTGGCGCTGATGAAAATATTAACGATGTGAGAGAGAAGTCAAATGAATTACATTTTTGTAATTTTTGAAAAAAAAGGAGAATATTGCAATATGGTTTTATGTCATGTTATAGCGTGCATTTATCACAATCCCAGCCAAAAGTTTTAAAAAAATATGTGGACTAATTTTTGAGAAAATCTTGTTTTTGTATTTTTTTAAATTCACGCAATATTGCGCGAAAACTACTAAAATTTTCATCTTTAATTTTGTAGTTGTAGGAAGACCCCGAAAAAAAATTTTGAAATTTTCGAAAATACAGAGTTAATTGTGAAAATTGGACCTACGACACCTTTATAAAAGCATATTACTATATTCTTACAAGAAATTTAAAGAACAAAATTTAGAGGCATTTTTGAGAAAATTTTGAAAATGTCCGGTGGACTTCATGTAAATTAACCCCAAAAACAAATAAAGGTTTAAAAATCGCAGAGCTTTGGCTTAAGTCAAATGGATAGGATGAATTTTGAAAAAATCCTATCCCTGGTTTAGGCGCTAGTGTTGTTCACACACACCAGACGGACAGACGGACGGATGTTTTGAAAAAACACTTTTTCGGTATCAGCGTGAACCCAAAAGTGTATTTCCGTTGAAATCTCGAAACCGATTTTTCGCAGCATTACATAACTTTCCCAATACTCCGTATATAGTACATATTCGAGAAAGTAAAAATAGTTCATGGAATTTACTCTGGAGACGTTGATTGTTCAATGTTCTATAGTTAACGTATATTTATCAAGGTTATACAGTGTGATTCCATGAACGTCCATTGGCATTTCATAAAAGACAATTTTAGAAACGTAAATAAATATTTTCGGATTCCAGTGCGAAGTCATTACGAAATCGATTTCTATCTCGTCATTCCTAGCCCAAACGAATTCAAAGCTCTCGCTTCGCACAATGACGTTTTCAGTCGCTATGTTACCGATCCTTAAAGTAACCGTCAACACAATGTCAGAGGCGCAAAACGAATATTAATAGAACGAACATCCTGGACAGACACGTAAATAATATTAATTCCTTTCTCTAATAAATTATTACAGTAGATTCCAGAACTGGTTACTTCTGCTAGTTAATTAATTAATAAAATACTTAGAACTAAAATCAAGGGGGATCTGAGAACCTCTCAAGCCGAAAACTGAGTTTGTGAATGTAGGCGTCGATTACACTTTCGAAAAGGATACATGCAACAAAGGTTTTAATACATTTTTACTTCTTTTAGTAATGACGGATGAGAAGATCTTCATAGAAATGGAATTTGATTATGGGCGTTTAAACCACACAGGTGACGCAAGGAAGGTCTGCAAGTGATAATTATCAAAATGTATCTCAATAGATACAACTCAACTGCTTCTTTACCGGCGACTAGTAGGAATTTAGAGTTGGGCTTTAATAAATAATGCTAAGGGAGGGTACTTTGGAGAAAAGAAAACAGGAAGTGTTCATTTCATTCAGCCCACTTGTAAACAAGCCTTGTAGCGATTTGTGAAAGAAATATAAACTTTGCCGAGAGGAAATCTCAGGGAAACAAACCTGATTAAATACAATGAATATTCGAGTGTTTCAAGAAAGCGTGATTTTCAAAATCCCAGGATATATTTTTAAACATTGGCTATTTACAGATTTTCCCGCCATTATTTTCGAACTTGTGCCATTTGTTTATTGCATTATTGGTAGAGTGTCGCGGGAATCTTCTTGTCACTGTGCATTTGGACGTTTGCAGCTGAACGAGATCTCCCAGTTATCCAAAGCGTGAACAGCGCGCGCCAACGGCCTGAGCCCGGCCGGGCAGCAAGTTTGGGCGCCGCCTGGGCTTCCCGGCTGTCCCTGGCGAGGCGGCGGCGAAGGTGTGTGGCGAGCGGGCGCGGGCGGGCCGCCGCCGTCGCAGCCGGGCAGCCCCAGCCCGCTGTCGGACAAGCCACCGGGCAGCCCGCTGTCCTTGACGAGCGCAGGGCCTCCGCGTCGCAGCCCTCCGGGGGTGCCTCCTGCGGGTCCCGCCCCGCCGCCGCCGCCGCCGCCACAGCCGCAGCCGCCGCCCACCGACGCCTGGGAGATACACTACGAGCCGCGCGCGGGAGCCGGGGCGGGTGCGGGCGCCGCTGTCAATGCCGTCGCCGTTGGCGCGCTGAGCAGCGCCGACGAGCCGCTGGAAGTGTCGCCATCGCCGCCGGCGCACGTGGCCGGCCACGTGGGCGCCCACGCGCCGCCTCCCGCGCCTCGCGGCGAAGGCCTGGCCGCGTAGGCCCGCAGCACGCCTCTGCGTACTCTTACATATCCCATTATTGTCAAAAGTATTTAATGTACTGCAAAGAAAAAGTTAATTTATTTGATGTGAATTAAATTTAAATGATGGAAAACGATGTTTCTTTATGATATGTGTATAGTGTTGGTAGTATCGTGGATATTTTTCACCATAAAGACTTACTACTCAGAGCTGGCCGGTTTAAATCACATCCGCTGCAATGTTCCTATTTTGAAACTAGTCTTTATATACTAATCTGTAATTACCGAAGAAAAGGAGAAATCACAAAATATGGATGTTCGAACATTGAAGATTATAAAGATATTATCAAGAAATGTGGATAACAAATATTATATATCATTTAAGCATGAAGGAAGTGCTGTGTAGGCTCCCTTTTTGCAGCTTGTACACTTCTGCGAGATGTGGTAGGAGTTTGTGCTGAGAGGAATTCACGCCGCCAGTGGGTATCTTCCATGTGCCTGGAAACGGAAGAGAACTATTGTTTTGGCAGAGACACATAGGAGTGCACAAAGCCTCAGGCTCTGGTTGCCCACTGTTTTCACTGTGATACTACACCGTGTAGGCGAGGACGTGAAGTAGTGACACAAGAACAAGCCGTTGATAGTAGTCACAAGAGTGGTACTTAACTACAATAGAGCCTACATCTCTGATACGTATTATCATCTCTGAAAGTAAAAGTGATTTGTATAGCAACATACAAGAAATTCGTTTTAAATGTTGTGAAGCAAACAAAATGAATGGTGCGTGGGGTTGTGTATGTGTGTATGTATGTAGTATATATAATATTATATATATATATATATATAAATAAACAGGAGCTTGTACAAGTTCTTTCCTAATGAGAAACATCCAGCCGATATCCTGTATCATCCAATCATTATTCTGGGAATTCATTTTTTGTTGACAGACAAGGACTATTCATAGAAGCATTTGACCTGTAATTGTACATGCCTTGTATTTGGTGTTCTCTTCTATTGCCAACTATTTGCTGTTCAGTGGATGTTGCTCGAGCAGTTGTTGTTACCTACAAAGCCCACTGGTTCTGTTCTTGTCCTCTGTTGCTGTATATAGTGTACATGTGTATGGTAGTTCCAATGTTGCAGAGGTAGTGTGGCTCCCTATTGCTGTTGAGAAGTGCTAGTGTATATGCCATTGGCTGATTTCGTGTTCTTAAATCTGCCAAACTCTAGTATGCCTGATATACTACCCAGCCCCTCTCAACAGTTTTCCACTGTCCATTTATTGTTGTGTTATCATCCTTGGCAATGTATCATTGTATAAATTATTATACTGCCAGCAGCAAACGTTTGTTAATTATTAAGATAGATAGCATCATCTCACTGTAGTTCTTAAAAATGGCAGAAAGGGACAAATGTACACAGATTGTCAAGTGCTTACATGTTCAGCTGGGAATAATTACAAAGGCATGTCTCACTAATTATCCCATTGTTTCCACTGTTTTGACTGGTTGTATCAGTACTCTAGTTTCATTTGCATCAAGTTTCTTTAGTTTTTGACCTGGATTCTTCATTGTAAGTATCGTCATCATCCACCCATCATCTCAATCACTTCACACTAATAATTTACTTTTGCTATTAAAACATCTTAGGATCTACTTCAAAAGCAATTCAGTAACCTACACTTCATACATACATCTAACTTGCATCTACACCACAAATCTCAAAAGATAATTCCTATGAGAATCCAGGGGATTTTTGCGGGGAAATCTGACAACAGCTGCTCGCCCAGAGCTCCACTCACAGAGTTGAGCCAACAAGAATGTGGCTCTTTCAATTCCAGATCTCCTTCCTGTATTCCATAATAACAAATACAACCAACTTCACGTTTCCAATGGATTATCAGATATGCATGAAAGAATGATCAAAATTAACATAAGTAAATTTTTACTACCTTATCTAATTTTTATTTAAATTTATCAGTAGAATTACCAAAAGACCATTGTGTTCATATTGCTGGTTTTCTTAAAAATAACTTTTGCAAAGATTAATTGTCTACTTTACCTTTTTTTTACCTGTTTCACATTCAGTTCATTCTGTCATGTGTATTTATATCGCCTACATTACCAATCTTCATATCACGTTTTTTCTACCCTGCATCATCAGCTGTGTCTGTTCTCAGCGTGCATTACAGTGAACTTTCCGTTTGTGTTTCTTTGCGTGATCTGAATCTTTCCATTGACTGTGCATGGGGTCAGGATGTGAGCTATGTGCTCCGCTGTGATACCTTACCCCATTGCCAGTTGAACCAAACCATTCCAAATGATCTTAAAAAGACAGCCAAGCAAATCTCACTAACAGCACTTCTGCAAGCATCACTGTGCAAGCTTGCAACATTGCAAAGGACTGTTCCCCCATTCTCTCTGTGACCAGTACTTGCTGTGAGCTGGCTGATTCTCTGTTCAAGGGTTTGTTAGCAATGAAGTTTAGTTTGAAGGTTACCTTTCTACACAATTGTGATACTCTTTGTTTCAGTATACTTGTTTTTCACATTTCAATTATAAGGTCTCTTTTTTTAACCTGTCTTATTTTTTACTGTATTTGAAAAACTGTATGTATATATTTGTATATTCCTTATCTCAAGAGATCTATCACACATTTCAAAGACAAAAGATGCTGGCTCATACATTTGCTATTATCACTATTGAGATGTCACCAAAAGTTACAGGAGAGATGCTATTTTTGTAATGTTCTACAATAGCCCTTTTGGTGGTATCTTAACCCAGCAACTCGGCAACCCCTGTATTTTGATTGCCAAATTTGGAACCCATCCGCTGCCCTGTCGCCCTCATTTGTGTGTTTGTAGACACTAGTGAAAACTGACAAAAAAAGAGCATTGTATTTGCCATGATTCAATTTTGACTGTAGTAAAGTTTTACAACAATTTCTTTTCTCGTTTCTCTTTTCTTTAATTTCTGCATATGCTCTCCATACAGAAACCTGTTATTGCAAATAACAGTCGACTCTTATCGTAATAACAGTTCAAAAATTACAGGTCCATGACCAGGAACCTAACATGGCCGACTGCTGAGGATTAAATAAATTGTGGCGACTGCTAAGAGTTAAACCAGGCAAAACACATAATGTTGGTAGCACTGTAAAGCTTGTGAAGCTACCCCATGGCACTTGCACTATTCCCCAAACATGTTTGGACACAGAAACAGCTGATATGAATGAGCTTGGATAGCCTGATGAAGGAGTTATAGTAATTGATATGATGAGTAGCAAAGTTGTATAGACTATTACTAAAATAACAGTGATTCGGCTATAGATTGCAAATATCCTTTTGAATATGCAACACATGCACAGTGAAGTGATGAGTGCCAAAAATAATGAGGAGAAACTGTTTTTGCTTACATACAGCTAAAATAGTAATAATTAATTTTAATTATTACTATTTTACTTATTAATTAATAAGTTAAATATCAAATATTATAATGTGCGTTATTTAACCGTAACTCATTTTATTTTATCAGACATAGAAATATTTGTGGATCTCACATAAGCAGCAATGAGACAAAAAGAAGTTAAGACAGATTTATTTTTAAATGATAGACAGTGTAGTAAACAATAAAAATATTGTGACACTTGACATGTAATAATGATGAATTATTTATTAATGAATCTATAATTTGAACACTTCCTTATCACTGTTTATTAGCTGCAATGAAATTGTTCTCGTAGAAAATGGTTGCCGCGAAAGCTTGTATTAGTTCGTATTTAGCTCAATAGATTGCAACGTTATGAATTTCAACCGCTAATAACAGGATAAACGAAATAACTGTGAAAAAATAACAGTTAAGCTGTTAAGAGTACATCCCTAATACGTAAAAGAAATGGAAGTTTTTACAAAAGATATAACTATTTTACCCCAAATATTTACTCAATAAAGTGTACTCGCTATTTTCATTACTTTTTAATTCTTATTAAGAAAAAACATTAACACCTTACAACAATGTTTACGAACAAAATAGTTTTGGTAAAGTTAATGAATTGATTCATCTAATAAATTTTTCATCAGATACTTTCACTCTTTTTTTTTTCTTCTTCTTTATTCTATAGAGTTAGTACCCAAAAGAAACTGTAATAAAAAATAAAAACAAGAATTCAAGATATATTTTTTCTGAATTTTTGAAATTAAAATTCTTTAAATGGGGCCCATATATAATTTCAATGTCAAGACATATATCGACTGGTTTTCTCCTTACGATGAAGTTTTGTACACTTTTGTTATCTCTATAATTTGTTTGTATCATCACCAAATTTTCCACTAAATATTTTACTTAAATGTCTCCTTATACACTTTGCATTATTTACAAATATTTCTCTGAAAGCATTTTTCAAAGACAAACAGAGCTTATAATGATTCTCCAGGATCCCTTTCCCATATGCAATTCTTCACAACTGAGATAATAGCAAGTTACCGCAATATTCTTAAAGGTTCATGAAATGTACAATCCATGTAGAGAAGATTGTGAACAAGCGAGTTCAAGTTCTAATAGTATTTTTTCAATAGGTTTCATCATGGCTTGAAATGAGTTTTGATCATAGGGGCTCATTAGTATGTCACTAAAATATGACCAGTTGACTAAAAAGGATTTATTACAAACAAGAACTATTCTACATTTATAGAACAAATGTATTAATAATCACAGACTGAAGTAAGAATGATATATATGCTAGTAAATATCACATAAACTAGCAATGAAATGCACATTTTGTATGCACATATGACCTGATCACATCACCTCATTCAATCTAAACCTCCCTAACATATCATTTGAAGGTGTAAAGATGAATTTGTGAAGGTGCTTTGTGCAATAACCACGTAGTTTCAAAAACGAAAGTACAGTCTCATCGATTCAGCTGCCATTAATATCCATATTTTGAGCTGGGGAAGAAGCCACAGGACAGTCTCCCATGTTGCTAACACACCCTTCTTCTGGAACTTGTAATGGAGCATGGGTCAACACCTGTTTATCCCAACCACAGGAGAACAGCATATTGGAAGACGGATGCCAAGAAAGACCTCGCACAAAATCATTATGTCTCCCATCTTCATAACTGCAAAAAGTAATTTTCCTTTAATTTAAACCAATAGACACCTTAAACATAATCATATTAAAAGTAATTGACCTCTTTAAACTTTCACACAGACAAACTATTACCAAAATTTATTTTTATCTATGTGGGTTGCTATTTGCTCATATATTACAGTCAAATAATAAACAACCAAGTCAATACATATCAGTTTGGAGAAATATGTAAACACAGCAAGGTTCTGACCAAAACAGCAATGACACACTTACATAGCATAGATTGGGCCTTTTTATTTTCTTCTCCAAAATAAAAATAGCAAGCAAGATTTTTTTAAGACACAGTAGTGGAGTGCATTTTCTTTAAATTTAGTTCACAATTAAATCTCTGGGGTAAACTTACCAAACTACAGGATTGGCAACATCCATACAGTCAATCACTTTCACAACTTCCAGATCTCCACAAACAGCAAGTTTGTTCAAACTAAAACAATTATAACTTCATTAAAGTAGTTATAAAAAGAAAACATTTCTACTGCTTGAATCCAAAACAGATTTCTCTGATTTTTCCCAGTTTTCCAGAGCATTTTAAACATGTTTCACTGGCAAGATTTGTAGAGTATTTCACAATTCATATTTAAAGAATATATTAAAGTAAGCATGAAACTAATTTGTCAGCTCTCTGATTTTGAATGATAAGTATAAATTAAAAACAGCAAAATTTTCCCTAACCTCCAAAAGGTCAGATTTGCAACCACTCAGTGATGAGTCAACTATTACGTATGAAACTGAATATGAAAAACAAGCAAAAAACGTGTGATGAAAACCCAAATCCAAGTGATGTCCATTTAGGAACAGAAAACATGTTTACACTTACCTGCCCCTATCAAAACACAATCCATGCACAGATCTTGGAAAACAAGTTATTTTGCTAATTTTCTGCTTTGGCTGACGAATATCTACAAAGCTGACTTCTCCATTTATTCCTCCAATACCCACAACATGTGAGGTAGAATGCTGCCACTCCACTGCAGTCATTGCTGTACCTTTCAACAGTTCTGAGGCTGGCTTTGGATTACGTGAGTCCCACAAGAGACTCTTGCCATCAAGGGAACATGAAGCAAATACCTCAGAACCATCTGTAGGCTGAGTAGCAACAGATGTCACTTGATTGCTGTGTGCTGGTCGATAAGTGTGTTCTGCCACTAAAGATTCTACATCCCATACCTTAATTCTGCAAAACAAAAAATGCATTACCATCAATTATTTAGTATTATCACAAAGAAAATTCTGGGCTTCTTTACAGTGACTGATTTGCATATAACGTGGAGCAGATTTATTTTCCTTATGTAATTTGAACATTTTTCCTTATGCAATTAAGAACATTTAGAATTTTTACCCTATTCAATCAAAAAGTGAACAATACTTACACACAATCAGCTCCCCCTGACACTGCTTGTGATTTTCCTTTAAATACACCAATTGAACATACATAATCATCATGATCACAAGCACATGCAGACAAGGAAAAATGGAAAGTATGTTCTTCAGCCACTTCTGACAAAGCAAGAATCTGAATATTACCAGAATCTTCTCCAATAATGACCTGTAAATGTGCAATCAATTTATTGATAATATCACAAGATATTAAACTTATGATTCCTATTATGGTAAAGGTAGTTATAAAAGTTAATATGAAGTTAGTATATAGGTAGTTGAATTCAAATTACACAACAGCCATTAATCACACACACTAAACACAATGCTAATTCTGACAGAGGAAAGAAAGACAAACATACTAATTCAACAATGTATGAAATAGCCAAGGCATATGATTACAACTACATTATGTTTCATCCAATCTATTCATGCAAAATGTAAATCAGAACATGTGAACTAAATGGATTGTTGTAATGAAGTTCTTTAACATTATTTGGAGCTTTTATCAACCACACTAGGTTTCATTGCTCTTAGTTGATTTGCTTAAGATTTTGTAATTACAAGTAATAAGGAACAGCAAGAAAACAAACAAAATTAAGTCCTAATCCTCTTGGAATTACAAAAAACCCAAAAAATGTAATAAGAAAATCATTTCTTCTTCCGATTCTTGTAAGGATGACAAAGGACAATCCTTTTTTGATTTGTTGTCTTTCTCTTTTGTTAACATGGACTTTTCTCATTGAGATGTCAAAGCAATTTTATGCTAACTTTATCCTTGTAGGAAGATTAGAGAGGATAGCAACATACTGTGTGTTTTGGGCACAAAATAAATAGGAAATATTGGGATAGCTAAACTAATTAAATTGTGAGGATCAGAGCCTCACCAATGACCAGGATTGCTGGAATAATGTACGCAAGTGTCAACTTGGTCAATTATAGAAAAAAGATATAATTGTGTGATACAGCTTTCATAAAAAAATTATTACTTCCAAGCTAAAAACTGTCCCCAAATACTTGTCATAAGGCAATTTTTTGGTAAAATTAAGAATATGAGAGTATTTTACATAGTCCGTGGACAATTCTGTACAGCTTTCCAACAAATTTAGGGTAGAAAAAATACTGACTACCCTAACAACTTATAGCATTCCAAGGAAACTAACAAAAGATTTTTTAAAGTTAATTATGTGCATAAGAAATTACACCGAAAATCAATACCCTATACATTAAATTATTGGCCTCAAAAAGCCATGATATTTAATAAGTGTTTTGTGAGCTGGTGTATGTTTATTTGGGAAGATACGGGATATATTCATAACATCTCAGTGATAGATCCGAAGGCACAATGTTGAGTAAGCATTTTTTCACAATTTTTAACTCTCAGTGAGATGACATTTTATTTATCAGAAACACTGCTCAAATCTAATACAGGAATTCTAAAACTGGGTTAAATGTACTTACTGAGGCTATCATGTCATTTGAATTTTATTATGGGCATCAGCTAACAAATGAACTTTCAACAAACTACCTGTGAGCTTTTGACTCCATATTACATGTTTTTTTATGAAATCTAGAGACATTTCCCTCTCTATCACATGTAAAAGATCAATTTTTTTAAATTTCAATACTGACCCATCTTAAAACAAACTGCAACTTTTTAAGGGCTTCCACTCACCCCTAAACTTTAGGAATAGGCTTGTTAGGAGTTTGCAAATATTTCCCTTGCAAGATTTGAAGCAATTTAATATATAACTGAAAAGTTTCTTTGCAAATATATCCAACACAAAATCTGTTCTGGACAATTGCATATTACACATTTTGAAACTTCCCATACAGGTTGTTGGATATAAAGGAAGTACCCAGCACAGGTATGAAGACAATTTTTTTTTTCTCTTTTTTATTATTGTTTGTCGATTTTAGTCTTCTTACTACCATTTATAAAATTAATTAGCATTCCATTATCTTGTATTTAGCATGAGAATTGAATTTTAATTTATTGTACATTGTATGATTATGTACATATCCTGACTTGTCATACATGGCTTAGGCTGTATTTATGTGGCAAATACATTATTATTATTACAATTTCTTTAGGTGTTCCTTCTTACAGAATCTTTTTCACAGAATTGCAGAAAGCTAAATGTGTCTTAATAACCATTTGTTCTTGAATTTTTACTTTCTCGATGGTGAAAGAAGGTAGTTGGAAGATGAGTAAAATGATGTAGATTGGTTAAGGCAATGAGCAATTTTAATTCCATAAAATAACTGACACATTGCAACACACAAATGTCAATTTGTAATTATACAATGTTTTTGGCCATACCTTCTGTTGATCATTTAAAAATTTGCCATTGCAAACTCCACTCTCACAATCTGTGCCTGTGAGACACTTTTCCACATTGGGTGCTGCTTCAGGTTCAATAAAATACCACAGAGAACCTGTCCAATAACGCCCTGTTAAATTGCTGGACCCCAACAGCAAAAAACCTTCTGAAAAAAGAGAAAGAAAAAACATTACAAATTTAGATTGAGTGCTACGAATATGGAATTTGGTCAGATAAAAATATATGGCTCCTAAAGAAAATATTTCACAAGAAAGGGCATTCTTACTTCCAACGTTTGTGGTTAGTACGATTTCTTAAAAACTCACCGTCATTAATATCCAAAAAATCTAGATGTTGTTCAACGTGGTTTGGAAGAGTAGCCGGCTGCAAATTTCTATAAGCTTCTGCATTTCTGTATGGCTCTAACTCGCCTTCCAAATCCATATTAGTTTCTGGGGCCAATTACAATATGATAGTAATTAAAGAAGTAACCTTACTTATAAGTTTAATATGAAGAAGAGGTTATGATCACTAACACAACACGGTTGGCGGCAAGTTCGATAAGTTGACGCCACTGCACAACACTCGTGCTCAGTTGTTCGTTCTACTCGTTGCGCCGCATTCCCTTCACATTTCATCAGACCTCCACTTTCCTGGATATACCACTAGATAGCTCTGTACACGTTTCGTCGTGGAGCATTGAATTAACCCGCCGAAATTACAATTATAACCATAATATAACTAGTGGTGTTACAGAATGGCACAGACTTTCTCGTATTATTTTTCTATTTTCTTTGGTCTGGGCTAGCTATTCGGACTTCCCACTGCTCGTCACACACTCTTGTCAGCTGCCATCTATTGCCGCACAACGTAGTATAATAATATAGATAATAATATAATAATAATAATAATAATAATTAATAATAATATAATAAAATAATAATAATAATTAATTAATAATAATAATAATAATCAATAATATAATAATAATATTAATAATAATATTAATAATAATAATTAATAATAATAATAATAATGAATAATAATAATAATAATATTTATTGAGTCACATATACAAATTACAATCCGGAGTATGATGAGGTCATATGAATGCCTTGGGTGAGATGAGAGCGAAGTTATATTACTGTTCAGAGACAAACAAGGGCCATCTCAGCATTTGCTCAAAGGTCAGTGGAAACTAAACAAAACCTGATCGAGATGGGTCATTGCCTGAAATACAATACTTGTTGCAGTTAGATTTAAGATATTAACAGTAATAAATTATCTGCTAATTAGATTAACATTTCATATGGATATTTAATGCTACTACTGTATAATATTACATCAATAAATATTACATTAATTTAAAATTACATTATAAACATATCAATTATGTTTCAACTACATCAATTAACATAGTATACATCAAATATTTATAACTTGAATGTTAGGAGGCAAGTTTTGACCAGTTTTTTTCTTCTGCTATTTCACAGTATGTGAGTATCAGTTCTTTTTCTTTGCTTCAGCTTGAAACAGTTTCACATGAAACAGAAGTCTAATGGAATTGAGGAAATTTCTTATTTATTTATATTTTTAGGAAATTGTAATTTTGAAAATCCTTTACACTGTAGGAACACGTTAAACAGGAAAGCTCTTATCAATTACTTTTAAATGTATAATGTTGTTTAGGTCTTTGATATCATTGCCTAGTTTATTGTAAAGTTGATAACGTCCTCTATTAGGGTACTTTTTTTGATAAAGTGATAGTTTCAAGTTGAACTTAGGTATCCTTTGACGGGTAGTTGTAGTTCGTTAGTTATGTACATCAGAATTTAAAGTAAAAAGTGTCTTTGTTTTCATGAGAATTTTCTTTGTGAAGACACTTATATTCAAATATGTTCATTCTTTTAATGTTGTCTATTTTTCGGCTTGCTATCGTATTGCTAGAAACGGATTACTATTACTTAAAGAATATTAAGAAAGGGAGAAACCTCGTCTACATGGAACTTTTCATTGAAACATTTACTGCCGTTTTTAAGAAAAAGGTGTTTAAGAGTTATTATGAATGCGAAATTTAAAGCGCTTTTCGTAAAAAACTACTGACTTTCCGAATAACTTCATATGAAATCATTTCAAACACTTCCAGTCACAAATACAAAAGATTTAAAAAAGAAAGTGGAAGTGTGGTATTAACGGCGTGAGTAATATGTTTAAAAAAATACATTTCTGTAATTTTGGGAAAAATAAAAGAACAAATTGAATATGTCATACTAAACAGTGCAATTGGCACTACTGTTAGAAAAGTGTGAGAATATAATTTGAAGCCATTTTGAGAATGGCGTTTTAGTGCTTCTGAAAATGCGGAATTTTGAGCTCATTCTAACAGAAAACTGTTAAATTTTCGAGAAACTTTATATGACATTATAACATATACACAGAAGCACATGTACTCGTAAATACAATAATGTAAACACATTGCCCCTAATGTAAATATTAAGAACGTGAGAGACAAATAAAAAATGGCTTTTTGTAATTTTGGAAAAAACAAAAGAATATGGCAAAATGAAGTATATGTCATCTTTTAGAGTGCATTTAGCAATATCCCTACCAAAACTTCAAAGAAAAAAATTGGAGCCGTTTCCAGAAAAGTATGTTTTTGATATTTTTTTTTTAATATTGCACACATTTCACGCAGTATTGTGCGAAAAGTACTCAAAGTTTAAAAAAAATGTACCTGTCCTTAATGTAAGAACTATTTTTTCATAAACATTACAATTTAGTCCTATAGACTAATAAGCAATTTTCTTGGTACCTAAACTATATTAAATAAAATTTGTTCTAAGAGCTAACCCATTAGTGTCCTCTTAGTTAAATATTGTTTTTAAAACACTCTTGTGTTTGTAGCTACACTGATATTTACACTGTTATTTTTGTTCTTAGTTCTTAAAAACACTTTGTCACGTCATTTTAAACTAGTTCGAAAGCTTTCTTTCTCTTCCATCTCACTAGGTCTGTGTTCTGGTGAAGAATTACTTCGTGTTGGTACAGCCTTTCTTCGTGATCAGTATTTTCTCGCGAACCTTTGTATTTCATCTTCCACTGCTTCAACTCCCAGGTCTTTGTGTAAATCTTTATTTCTTAAATAACAAGATGTTTCGACAATATTGCATAGCACTTTGTTCAAAAATCTTTGGATAATATCGATATTACTCTGTCTGGTACATCCCCAGAGACAGTGGCGGCTCGTGATCATGATATTAGGGTGTACAACGTCTCTTCTCTCTCATACATACACACACGCGCGCGCGTCACATACACTCACCTATACAAAGGCATACATCACATGTCTACATATATACTCATTAGCATAAATAATGACAATTCAACATACAGCACATTATGAAGTGTAATAACATGCTGAACGGCATCTTTCATCTTACAAACAAACTCTCATTTCTTCTTACAAGCATCTGCTTCGACTTCGCCGGGCAAGGACCCCTCCGAAATATTTATTACTAGGGTCGGTAACTGCTCAGTACATTCCAGAACAGTTTTTCTGGTGTTCAATTGTCACAGTCGTCAGCTTATAGTATAAACTCTTGTTTAAACCCTCTTCCAAAGCCACTCCCACTTGCAACAAAGAGTCTGAAGACATCTCCCATCTGGGACTCCCACCCCCAAAAGCAAAGAATCCACTCGACCTTCATCAACCTGCACTGGACACCGCGATGCCTGGAAAACGCGGATTATCTTTATCTCGCATATGCCCCCTCGTTACTTCTTTAGGACTAGCTGTAATTCTTGACCCAAAGCGTCGGCTCTCAGCAGATGTCCCTCCCCCCGCCACCCATCGTCAACAGTAGCAAAACAATGACAACCTATTAGCACGATCAGATTATGTAGGTCATCAAAGTGGGATTTGGACCGACCAATAGGCATCCACAAACCCATAGCATATTCTAGAAGTAGCTAAGCGAGCCAACAGAGGCATAGGGCGACACGTACGTGACCATAGGGCATGGACTAGAGAGATGGTATCACAGGGCAGAAATGAAAGAAGCAGAGGCTATTTGAAATCCATCGAGAGAGGCTGTTTTGTGATTTTCATTCGCATTTCTTTAATAAAAAAACCTTCGAGATCTGTGACTATTTGAAACCGCAATTTGAAAGCTACAAAGTTTTCGATTCACGGTGCCATCCTATGTGGAACCGGTGCTTTTTTTGGAACTGTTATCAAGACAAATAAATAACAAAGACAACGTAATTTATTCCAGAACGACCGAGAAGCACTTGTCACGATAAGCAACCTGCCGCAACGTGCACTCCGACGCGGGTAGAGTAACGTATGACGGCTCTAACCAGCGAGAAAAAAACACACATCATCATCGGTATGAGAGCGAGGAACTTCAATCCAGTCATCGGTGCGTTTTGTGGACCCAAGACTAATCCAACGCATCGTGAGCCTGCGCCATCCCTTGGACTAGCGACGTCGCTCCTTCTCTAGCGGCCTGGGGTGCGTGATTTGAGCGCAAATACGCAAGACGGCGACGAGTAATTCTCTACGACGAGGTAACCCAAAATATTAATTGGATTGTTGGTGAAGTAGATACCTTTTTTATTTTGATAAATAAATAGAGATATGGTCAGGTATCAATATATTGATACCTGACAATATCTCTATTATTTATCATAACCCAAAATATATCATTGTGGGCCTCTGCCTAGAATTAAATGACTAACGCTAGTGGACAAGGAAAGGGATTGCGTAGTTTCAAAGACATTAAATGTCCATGTAATAAAATAGTGTCATTTTGAAGAAATGTGTGCTCGCCATTCCGACGGGCAACATTTAAACAATCAATTGAAAGTGTTTTTAATTAATAAATTAAGAGCATGAGCATCATCCCGACCCAGAGCGACTCACCCCTTGAGATCTCTAGAGGTGTCGCAGGAGGCATCGCGCTTAGCGCCCACATCTAAACAAAAGCTCTAAGAGGGTAAAAAGTGGCCCCGCTTGATATTGAAAATACAATTTTTTTCACGAAGTTTTAGATTTTTTTCATTGAATTGGCTGTATGAATTTCCATTGAAAATAATGAATCTGTATGTGAAATTTTCTCAACTTTTAAAAAATGTTTAAAATTTCTTTTGCCTCGAAATTGAAACTTTTAAATGGATTTTAGAATTTTGATTTTTTAAAAGAAAGTTTTAATTCCGCCGGGTGAACGAAAAAAGTTTCAAAAGTGATCCTAAAAATCAAATATTTTTTGGAATGTTTGTAGATTTGTCTGATAGCTGTGCCATGTTAAAAAAATTAAAATACAATTTTTGTTCCATTGTATTCATGGGTTTAGAACTGTACAGAGGAATATACAGTAATTACAATATTATTTTCTAGCGGCAGTATTTGAAATGTTAAAAGGCTAATATTAATTCAGTAGTTTACGTAACAAAAAAAGCAAAGCAGGTGATTCACGCACGAGTCGAGTGCGGGAAAACCATGCGCCCGTTTTTAATACGCCGTGAGCGAAATGCAATGTGTCAGGCAAACACTTCGCGATTTTTCACACACTGAAAAAAATAGCTGTTTTGCACACGGAAAACACTTCCGCGTTTCCGATTCGGTGTGTTAAAAAAATAGCTTTGGTAATTACATTTGTGGTATCTCCTTAGGAAGCAACCACCTCAACAACGCATTAAGATCGCGCTCATAGCAACGGCCGTTAAAAAAATCATTAATCATTCAGTCATTAAATTATTTTAGACGAGTCTCGGATTTAGAATTTACCAGTGGTCATAAGTCTCTGTAAAAAATGTCCCATTTGTCCCCTTGTCCTTTTTGTACATGCCGTTCCTTTTCTCCATATCTCTTTTGTCCCACTTTTCACCCTTTTCCGTTTGCCCTATGGGCTCATTTTGTCCCGATGTCCAATCTGTCCCATTTCCCCCTTGTCCAACTGTGTTCCTGTGTCTCATTCGCCCCTTTTCCCATTTGGTCCACATTCCCCACCTAATCTCATTATGACTCTTCGCCCATTTTATCACCTTGTCCCATTTATGCTTACGTATACGAGAATGTAAAACCAATGTTGTGATGCGGAAAATAACGAAAGCATTATATGACAAATCTCCGTCGGGCCACAAGAGCCTGCTTGCCTGCCTCGCTCCCAGCCCACCCCTCTTATCTCTTACGGAATGCTTCCGTGCCCCTCGGAGCTGGTGCCCCAACGCGCGGCGGGGTTAGTGGCATGGGGGAAGGGGGCATAATGTTTTGCCAAATTTCACTTTACGACTCGCCTATTCAGTCGATTTGGACGATTGATACGGCGTTGGATTCGGGAAGCACTTCGCCATCGCGCTATAAGCCCACATTTTAAAATTTCTTCCCAAAACTATTTTTTAAAAAATTCAAAATTAATTTTTCAATTTTTTTCAAAGAGGCTTCTTAGCATAAATTTTATATTAAATACAAATCCTATATCGTTTACTGATTGGAAATCGAACCACTTGTTCAGACGTAATTAGTAAAGTAATTTTGGCTTAATTTGGTGCAGCTACGTGGTGGTAACAAATTGAACTAGTACATTTAGCCTTAAATAAAGCGAGATTCAGGATTCCCATTCGTAACTAAAAGGCTAAGGACAGAATGCGCGGTAATTTTTTCGGTACATTTTAGACGTTTTTCCTTTTTTTCTTGCGATTCTCATTTTTATTTTTCCTGCACTTTTACTATTTTAATTTTTTTTCCCAAGACCTTTTAGTTGGGGGCCTCGATCCGCGTATGCGATTACATCAGTAACACATCCAACAGCTTGAGACGCATCTGAATTGGTTTTGATAATGTTTAGTCACTTTCTTTGCTTTCAGGGTATTTTAAAAACATTTCAAGAGTATTTTATCGATCATTTTTGGCGATGTTTTAGGTCATCAAAATACTCCCCTTCGTTGTTATAGTTCCCCGTCACATCCTAGGGATACTATATAAATGTCTCATCCCCCCGTTAGATCCGCACCTGCTTTTAACCTCCTATTCAAAACAATCGTAGCCTTCAATGTTCCGTTGACTGCTCATGACTTTGCCTCGAGGTGGACCCTCAACTTCAGCTTCTACATAAGATGAGCCACTATGAGCCTCCTTCTCTATATGTTCTACAATAAACGACCCGTTACTACTTCTGCCTTTTCTTTGCCAGGATCAACAACCGAAATGGTTGTTGGAACATTGGAACACTGGAACATTGCCAGGTTGATCAGGTTCTGCAAAGTCACCACTCCTTTCTGACACTTGTCTTAATTGAACAGTGAAGAACTGGTCCAATTTTATTAACTTAGCCATATCTTCTGCTGATTTCATTGGTTATACTGCCATACGTCTTTTAGAAGCCCCACACTCCAAATTCTTGTGCGATGCCTGTGTCCATCTCTTTGACCATGCTGGCAATCTACCTTGAAACTAGGTCTCATACTTACATCAAGACCTAACAACAAAAATTACACCAATTTTTACTAACTTTGAGCATACTTAACACCACAAACACTGGAAAGGTCTGGAAGGGTAATTAGTGAAAGAAGGAAAGAAATACACATCCTGTTACTTATGCGTAAAAATACTATGCCCTTTTCTGATAATTTTTGCACGTATGCCAAACAATATTAAATTTATTACTTTTTTGTAACAAGCGTCCCATTCCAAAAATAAGTCTCTATTTTCTTGAATAAATGAGTAGTATTAGCAAGAATTTGAGTGAAATTTTGAGTATTTTAAACAACAGTGTTTCAAAAAAGGCAACGAATATTTTCTCCATAATTAATATTCCAAGATCGATCTGACTGAATTTGAGCCATTCCGAATTTCTATTGGAGAAGTCAATATTTGGGGGTTCTTTACATGGAGCTTCTACTACATTTTCTCAAAAATGCTTCATATTGTTTTCCTTTAAATAGACAGGATGCCTCCGCGTGATGTTTGAGAACCACGAGAAAGCGTTTCACTGAGAAGTGTTATCAGTGGAGTTATATTTGCCAAGGGAAGCAATTACAGTTCCCTTATAGAACTGTGTATGTCAAGCGGAAAAAGAAGCGACAAAACCGAAAATGCAGACCCAACTGAAAATAAAGTGGAACTTACAAATACGAAAAAGTGTATGGCACTCTGTAGCACCACTAGTTTTAATTGTCCTGGCCTGCTATAGGCTAACAATTTCATTAGATGGGTTTGTCTTAGGAAGATAATTATTGTTGCCAGATTTGTGGAATCACTGGCGGATCCAGGGGGGATCCATGCTCCTCCCTCGAGTTTTCGTTTACCTTCTTATTGGGCAAAATTGATTTAAATATGTGTTCGAATTGTGTAATATTTGAACAATATTGTATAGTATATCTGTTCTGTGCTCGGCCAGCGGCGGCCCAGCCTTTCGGCCATGAGATAAAGGGTTTGTGTGGTTAGCACTAAGACATCCCTCCACCGTATATAGTTTTCTTAATCTTAAGGTGAGCTTTCCCATCGTCTCACAACAATAGATACTGGATATTTGTACAAAAAGTGCACTGTCATCATTTTACCCCGGCGAGGAATCGAATTCAGGTTTGCGTCGTAGAAAGCGAACGCACTAACCAACGAGCTGCCAACAGTATCAACAGTACATCATGTATTGTGGCGTCTTGCCGGGGCAATATATTACAGACGTGAACGGCTTGTAAATATTTAGTATTTATTAAAATATATATATAATATGATTATGGTGTACGAGAGGAGCAAGGTACATGTTGTGACTGCCCCTGACACAGTGCCGTCCGCGAAGCTGTATAAACAGAGTTCTCGCACTCTTCCGACCCAGAATTGTGCCTTGCCTATGTGGTTCCCTCTCAATAGATCCAGTGAGCGCAGCTATTTCTCCGAGAAATTTTCTGATGAACCGTTTAATAATCTATATCAGACTTATAATTTTACCGATTTCCTTTTTTGTCGTAGGTCGTGGATATGTCTTTATTACTTGAATCTTGGCTTTCAATTTGGTCCATCAGACCACTGCCAATCTGTATCCTAAAGAACGTAACCGATTTCCTGGCGAACTTTAACATTTCGCTGGTTGCTACGCGTTAAATTGCGTCTTCACGTACTTTTGAATACGATTCTGAGAATGTTTGCAGTGATCATTCCCAGTTGGTCACTTAAAGTTTGCTATGTCGTCCATATATGTGGACGGCGAATCCCGCGCAATCCTCAGTAGTGCCTCCAATAAGCTTACTGCAAACATATGGTGCATTTTTTTATGCCCGAAAAGGCAATCCTAAGGGTGTATAAGACCGGAATTTTTGTCGTAAAGGTGGCATACCGTGACTTCGCTCGCCTCATTTGATCTAGCCAGAATCCTTTTACATAGTCAGGTTGTTGGTTATGATTTTGGCCCACGCTCAACTGTTTTCAAATTCGCTCTGGCTAACTCGGAAAGCGGAAAATATTCAGTACGAATAAACCTGATTTAACTTGCGGTAGTCATATACATGGCCTGGGTGTTTTTTTATCGGGTGCTTCCCCAAAATCATGGGGATGTTGAAATCAGAATCTGAAGGCTCGATGATACGCATCCCTTAGGCATTTCGTGATTTTCATCCTGAGGATTTTAGTTTGGCGATGTGTGACGTGCGATACGGAGCGCTCCTCACCTTGCAGTTTCAGTCCAGCAACTCGTGTCCATCTGAACGTTTTTAGTGACGCCCTGGCCTATCAGAAAAGATTGTCCCAAACTCTATTACAAGCTCTGCTCAGCCTTTTCTCTTCCTTCGGCTCCATTTTCTGTGCTGCGTAGCATTGCCTCTACATCAAATTCCTCCGGTTGTAGTTTTAAGGGCGTATTTCTCTAATTCGCTCCTCCATAAATTCACCTTATTGTTCTTTGATTGACAATAAAGTTAACGTACTCTGTCCTTTGTACGTATGCTTTGATCATATTGACAT